TACACTATGTTATAGTAAATTATAGCATGAAAAAATAAGCCAAATATTTAGTGATGTTTGGTTCATTTTTACAAATGAAAATTATATTCTTGGGTAACATAAAAAGTTTTGAATAATAAAATATAAAAATAAAGGAAGCTACATACTCCACTTTTGCAGTTAATTGTAGGCTTGTAGATTTTCAGCTAGTGCTTTAGGGGTTAACAGAGTCAGTGGTGTATTTTGGATTTGTGTTTCCCTAGGCATGACAAAACTCAGACATCCCCATAATCTAAAATTGCCCCACCTCTTCCTGTCAAGGCCGCACCTCTTCCTGCACTTTGACTGACAAACACACGCCCTCACTGATGCATGCGCTGACATACACTCACTGACAACCCCACATCGACATGCACACACACACTCACTGATTTGACACACACCCTCACTGATCTGACACACACACACACACATTCTCACACATACATTCACTGACACACACACTCACAAAAAGACACACACTCACTCACTCACATATACACACAAATTCACTAACAGGCACACATTTACTGTACAATTTTCAAAGGACCTTGCACACACACTTTTTCACACACTTTTTCAGGGAGTACTTCCACTAGGGTGCTTCAAAACAGGAAGCGTCCCAGCCCAGACAAATCCATTGGAAGAAAATAAGTTTGTTTGGGCACATCTAGCAGTTTCTTCAGCAGCTAGACTTCATTGTGGAGTACAAAAACAATTAAAAAACATTTCGGCTCGTCTTGACAAAGGCTCAGGGAAGATGAAACATTGTCTAATTTTTTTTTGTATTTCAAAAAAGTAAAGTCTACCTCCTGAAGAAAATACTGGGTGTGTCCAAACCTATTTTTTTGTTAGACACACATTGTATTTAAAAAAAGTAAAGTCTACTTGCTGAAGAAAATACTGGGTGTGTCCAAACCTATTTTTTTGTTAGACACACATTCAATGACACACGCATTCACTGACAGACACACACTCACTCACTCACAGACATACACACTCACTCACAGACACATACATTCACTGACAGACACGCACACTCACTGACACACACACATTTTCTCATACACTCACACATTAGCTGGAGTGGATTCTTTCCATAGGGTCCAGTGGGGCTGATCTCACTAGAGGCCGGTTGGGCGGTTGTGCTTTCTTGGCTGCTGAATTGTCAATGGAGGTGGTAATGGAGCCTTAATCTGCTCCCTTATGCGCTGCTTAGTGATGCTGAAGCTGGAGTGGCGTCATATTCCGGCTCCCGGCCTCACTGCAGGGCGCTCATGGGAGCAGAGTAAGAAGAGCACAGAGACTACGTGGGACAAGTCTGCCCACCTCGGTGGGGCCCTAAGGTGGCCAGTCGGCCTACTCTTGGGCCCTCCATGAAACAAGGCTAACAAGAAATCTGAGGGAGGGTTTGGGGGTGGCGTTTTTTGCCCCCCTCCCCCTGGAAGTGCCGCTCAAGGCAAATGCCTTGTTATCCTCACGCTAAATGCATCACTGAACAGAGTGCCCCATCTTACTTTATAAAACTGTTGATTTTAATAGAAACAGGCATTTATATAAAGTACTCTTTGTGACTGCTTTGTTCACCAGCATAAATCAGAAGATGATTTTTCTCATAGAACCTGTAAGAGAAGCATCGGAAAAGCATAGGTACTGATGATCTCCCAGAGGTAGAGCGAGCTGTGGCAAGGTATCTTCTCACCTCTCAATTCAAGGTAAGTGAACTTTTTTTTTTTTTTTTTTATGGGCACCATTTTGGGGTCTGAATCTAACGAATTTTTAAATGTTTGACTTATTACCTGCCACCACTCGCCGTCTCCACTACTAATGCTGGAGAGACAGACATTCCAAAAAAGGATTTTCCATGAGCTATCCAAAGCTAAGCCCTGCAATATTTTTTGCAATGTTGGGCTTATCTCATTGGCTCAGAGCATAAAGTCTAGCTTATTGTTTATTTTCTCACATCATTTACAGTACTATATTTTGTGGGTAGCACAATGTAGAACTGTAAATATTATTTATTGTGAGGCAGCCTTGGGTAAAGTAACACATGAAGATCCCACTTCACTCTAGTGTTTCTGTACTACCACATTTTATTATTTTGGTTAGGACTTGTTTTGGTGACTTTTCCATTATTCCCTTCCTCCTTTCATCTTGGCCAGTAGCAGTTATTCACTGGAACTAGTAGCTTTTTGGGAGTGATTAGAGAGGCAATTTCAGATGTTATTTTCTACCTGTCTCTGTACAGATAGATGTTATTTTCTCCCAGACTGCAGCTCTCTCCTTCCAGGCAAGTATCATCCCCTGTGCCTTTGCCTCTTGTGTTCCTCTCCCAGGCAGGTATCGACACCTCTACCTGCGCTGCCTCCAACTACTTACTACCTTTACAAAGACAATTGTGGCTCTCTGCAAATTTACCTGAATATGCAAATTAATAAACATTGCTATTCAGGTAGTTTCACAACTAACAGATGGTGGTGTACAGGCTCCACAGCCAAATCCACCTATTGGTAGAGAGCCTCAGCAGGACAGGAAAGCACATAATACATTTAACAATAATACATTCCCTGCACTAATGGGCACAGGGTGAATTGGAAATAAGAAACATCAGGAAGATCTCAAGAAGTGTCAAACATATACAAACAGACAGTTCCAACAAACTCAGTCGCACATAATCCCACCCTAAAGTGGAGCAACTCATGGGAAAATGGAGGCAATCTAAAATAGCTGCCAGAGGGAAGTGCAGAGTTTACATGGTCTAGGCGGTGGTAACTCCTGTCACAGACATTATAAATGTTGGCAAGCAATGACAAAGTGTATGTCGTTTCTATATACAGCTCTTCTACAGAACTGATTAACAGTCAAATGATATTAGTTAGACCTTTGTACCAATAACTTATCTATACAGAGGCTTCGACAATTGTGTTTTCAAATAACATGTTGTGTTGCCAAGCATATCTGTTATAGTTTTCTTATGTTACAATATACTCATAAATAAGACAGAATGCAGATTTAATAATTGCATTAATATTTTCATCAGATGTACAAAATTATTAAATTCATTATTTTTCTTCTCTAAAAAATTTAGTTACTAGGAACCCAGAATTAAAATATCTGCTTTTGAGGATCATTTGTAGAATTATATATTTTTTTTGAATGCTGAAAAAAAGAGCAAAAAATACTTATGCAACCAAAAAGCAGTGAAATGTTACAAAGATAAACCTAGGCTGAATGTGGATCTCACATTTCCTTAAAAGAATAATATGGACACTTCTTGGGCAGCACTAACAGAGGTAGACACACATACATATAGAGTTCTACAACCGATCTGTTATCTAAACAATATCACAGTTATGCATTATATCTTGTGGCCCATAATTGTTCTTGCCTATAAATACTCGCTCTCCACCACACAATGGCCATTATGGCCTGATCCATCTTATGCCTAATGCCTCGTTTCCACTGAGCGGAACGGTTCGGGTCAGTACGATTTGGTACGCTATTTTGAATGTTTTTCATTATAAAAGTGGCCAATACAACCGAACCAAGCCGCACCATTCCTAGGCCCCCTTCAGTTGTCCATAGGAAATGGTACGGTATGGTTAGGGCGGAGCTACTGGCATCGCACGATACATTCCATTGATGGCGGACAGAAAACATCACTGCTCACGTCAAAAAGGCAAGCGCAAAACAAACATCACGTCTCTGTTCAGTCCAGATAATAGAAGAAGGATGCCTGAAAACAGCAGCAAGGTCTGGTCGGCTCAGGAACTATCCTCTTTCCTAACAATAATTGGCATTATTCAGAGTGAGCTTGATGGAGTAGTGAGAAATGAAAAGGTGTATAAAGATATTTCTCAGCAGACGACAGCTGAGGGATTTGAACGGACGTCGGTTCAGTGTAGGGTAAAACTTAAGAAGCTAAAAGGCAGCGAGGCACCAGGAGGCAGAAATCGCCTGGCATCAGATGGAGCAGTTGGCTACCTGCATCCAGGCCTTCCTTTGTGTCCTTGGGCAGCCTTTTCAAGTGCCTTTCAGCCAGCACAGGACCTGTACACTTTTTTTAGAATATTTTTTTTTATTGTTTGTTTTTTGTAAAAAAAATGTATTTGTAAAAAAAAATTTTTTCATTTTTTTAAATTTATTTTTCAAATTGTTTATTTGTAATTTTATTTTGAAATATTATTTTTTGGGGAATAAAAAGCTGGAGAGGCTGTGGGTGTATCTGATTAAATGTAAAACTTTAAAAAAAATCATGGCATAAAATTAAATGTTGAGGTGCTGCATCAGAGGCTGACGTACTTCACTGCACTCTTCTTCGCTATCCCATGCTATTACCCATACTGGCTCTTATGCAGACATATCCCATTCCTGGCACAGCAAGTAAGCACTATGGATTTGACAAGTTCAATGTCACTGTCATTCCTCTTCATAAGACACAGCCACTTACCCTTAAGTTTACCAAATGCATTTTCAACTACGACCCGTGCCCTGGATGTTTTCTTGTTGTAGGTTTGTTGTTCTGGTGTCGGGCGGCCATTGTCAGGAAATGGTTTCAGAAACCAGTTCTGTAAAGGGTAGGCAGAGTCCCCCAGCACATAATAGCCAACATTCACCACCCCAATGTTCTTAGTGCAAACAGGGTACAGGCCTTCCTGCCCAACCAAGTCCCAAAATGTGGACAATCGTAGAACCCGAGCATCATGCAAACTCCCAGTCTTTCCTACATTCATACTCCAGAATAGTCCTTTTCCATCCACTACTCCCTGGAGGATGATGGAATGCCAGCCTTTTCTGTTAAAGTAGTCAGTGCGGTATTCTTGTGGTGCTATTATTGGTATGTGTGACCCATCAATAGCACCAACACACTGTGGAAGGCCCCACCTGTTCTCATAGTAGTCAGCCATGTCTTTAAGCTTTTCCCGGTCCGGAAAATAAATAAGTTCATGAACTAACAATGTGCAGAAAGCCTTACAGAAGTCCTACACACACCGGCACACTGATGATTTACTGACACCAAAAAGATCACTGATACTTCTGTATTCACTGTTAGTAGCCAACTTCCACAGTGCAATGGCAACTCTTTTCCTCACAGGCAAACTGACTCTGAAGTTGGTGCTTTTCTTCTCCATCACTGGACGTAGCCTTGCACAAAGGTATGAAAATGTTTCCTCCGAAATTCGAAAATTGTGCACCCACTGTGTGCGTGTGAATTCCGGGATAGTCACATCCCACCACTCATTGGCACGGCAGTGAGCCCAAGTGACTGGTCGGCGGCGCTGGTTTATCAAAAACAAAGGAATCTAAAAAAGAACAAAACACAGATGGTACAGATAACTTAATACACCATATCAATATGAAGTCAAATATAATACAGCATAAATAAGGAGTATATATGTTAGGTGTAATACTTTAAATGTGCAATTTAACATACATTTGCAACATGTATGTTGTTAAATACATCATGTATATCCTTCTCATCTTATATTAGATTTTTTCATAAGTTATTTAACATATGAGTAGAATTACATGACAAATATGATAATGCATGGTATAAAGTTGCTTACCCTATAGCGCTGCCATCTTTGTCTTTGCCGCACAAAGGTGTACTTCTCTTCCTGTCTCAAGACCCAAGCCAGAAGTTTTCTTCTCTTTTCGGCTGTGTTTCTTTTCGCTGCTAGCAACCTTCTTTCAGACAGTGCGACATGTATTGTAACTACAAGGAACCAAAAGCCAAGCAGAGCAAAGACGAGCTGCTGGATGACCTCCATTGTTGTTCTTTGTAGTGTAGTGCTTGGTCTAAACCCCGCAAGCCCCCTGGTGGTCCAACTTGGAAATGCTCACCTTAATAGGCTGAACCATTCTAACCATTCCAAACCGTACTGACCCGAACCGTACCACCCAGTGGAAACAAGGCATTAGTGTCTCTAGCTTTGTGAACAAGACCACTAGTAGCCACCTTGTTTGTATTGCAGTCTATACATTGCCTTTACTTTATCCCTCTGGCATTAATAGAATGGTACATTTCCCTGCTTTTCAATATGGCCATTCACATTTGAGCTGCTCCACTGAACATTGGGACAAGGAACTTACAAGGTGGTGGCAGGACAGACTGAGACCCAGTATAACAGCTACATGTCTATTTATTTTCCCTTTCTAACTCATCTATCTTTTGATTGCACTGTTTATTCAGTCACTGTTGACTGGTTTGGTTTTATTTTTTTAATCTACCAATAGATTGTTGACACTTGAGAACTTTTTCTAGCTGGTCCTCTTGTTTGCTCTGCTTTCCCCACTTTCCCCACAACTACTTCATGTTGGATATATCTTCTATTTGGCCATCAAATGTTAACTCACCCAACATCACTTACAGAAGCCACCAAAACAAAATAAATAAAAAATTCCTCTCCTAAAGATGATGCCTCCCAATTAGAATCAACACAAGTGAACTTTCATAGTGTAACAGTGACCTTGAACTTTCACATATACAAGTTACCTTGACAGAACAATTCCTCACTTCTACCCACAAATTAGATGAACTTGAGAACAGAAGTCAATGCAACAATCTTCGCTTCATCGGTCTGCATGGAACAATTATGCCACTAGTGTTATGGGGATCTAATTGTAAAAAAGCCTGCTTTATTGATACTCTAAATGTACCCACAGTAGAACCCTTATTCATCCAGTTATCTCATAAATACATGAATATAAGGGAGGTTTTTAAATAGAAGGAGGATAACTTAACCTGCATACACCTTACGATTGTGCTATAGATTTGCTTACAGGAACCATTCCTCCTTAGGAAAGGGTATAATCACTCTCTCATAAGGATAGTGCTGTAATGGAAGAGTATGCTCAGGAGTTTCATTCTTAGGTCTACATCACCTGCTGGTGCTGGCTTCTTTTATTGTTTCCAAAAGGTGCGGTATCTGATGCCTTATATTCATTACCGTGGATTGAACAAGATTACAATAACAAATGTATACCCCATACCTCTCATATCCAAATTGTTTGACAAACTAATGGATTCTAAGATCTTTATTAAACTTGAGTTAAGCAGTCCTGACAAATTGGTCAGGATAAAATAGGGTCATAACTACTGGAACAACTGAATAACTACTTCACTGAAAACGACACCGAAGAAATCTCCGCACTGACTCTGTGGGAGGCCCACAAAAGCGTCCTCAGGGGGCTACTTATCCGGATATCAGCGCAAAAAAAGAGAGAAGCACCACGACAAATGACGACACTAGCGGAACAGATAGCAATGCTGGAAACGCTGCACAAGAGGACCCGACAAGAGGAGCATTACCGCACTCTTTTAACCCTCAGACGGCAACTGTCGGACCTGATAGCCCGCAAACACCACAGGTCGATCCAGAGATCGAAGGCCTTCTTCTACATCCATGCCAACAAGGGCGGAAAGCTACTAGCCCGCATGTTGCGGAACCAACAAACAAGCGCACAGGTGAGCGCACTGCGAACAGCCAGGGGCACCACTACGCAATTCCCTGAGGAGATTGCAAACGAATTCCGCTCGTACTAAGAAGACTTGTATAACATACCGCCCAAAACCCCGGACGCGGACGAGACCAGAACCGCAGGAGACATCGCACGCTACCTCAGAGACTTCAACCCTGAAACCCTATGCCAGCAGGAAGCAGACGCCCTAGACGCCCTAGACGCCCCGATAACTACAGACGAGATACTGGCAGTGATAAAAACCACAAAAAAAGGGAAGGCACCAGGCCCGGACGGGTTCTCGGCGGGCTATTATAAAAAGTTCAGAGACATCTTAGCCCCACGTATCGCCAACGCCTGCAATCACCTCTGAGACGGGGGTAAATTTCACAGAGAATCCCTAGCAGCCATAATCACAGTGATTCCCAAACCCGGTAAGAGCCCGGAAATCTGCGGCAATTACCGACCCATATCGCTACTAAACGTGGACGTGAAGATCTTCTCCAAAGTGCTAGCCACGCGACTGCAACAATTCTTGCCAAGGCTAGTCCACCCAGACCAGACGGGGTTCATCCCGGGAAGAGAGGCCAGGGATAGCACCCTGCGGGCCTTCACCATACAAAGCCTGGCGCGTAGGGGAACATCGGACTTCCTTATGCTCTCCACGGACGCAGAAAAGGCGGTCGACCGGGTAAGGTGGAGCTTCATGACGGCAGCGCTGAGGGCGATGGGTCTGGGGAACGGCATACTTGCCTGGATAACGACACTTTACACAGATCCAACTGTCAGAATATGGGTAAATGGAGCACTTACAGACAACTTTGACATCAACAACGGAACCAGACAGGGATGCCCGCTGTCCCCCCTCCTCTTCGCCCTCTCGTTAGAGCCGTTTCTAGACAAGATCAGAAGGACACCAGAGATCCAGGGATTCAAACAGAAAGATCAGACACACAAGGTGGCCACATACGCGGTGATATGCTCTTCTTCGTCGCGGAACCTCAGGGCACACTGCCGGCCCTCCTACGGGAGTTCAAGCAATATGGACGGATATCAGGACTCAAGCTAAATCTAGCAAAATGTGAAATTCTGGCAATACACACCGAAAGGAACGTGCAGGAGAGACTCCAACGCAAGTTCCCTTTCCACTGGTGCAGGGAGCAGATGTGCTACCTGGGGATTTGGCTCTGCCGTGACCTGGGCGAGACATACGATAGGAACTATACACCCCTCTTACACACTGTACTGACGGACCTGTCGAGATGGTCATACGATCACATCTCTTGGCAAGGCCGAATAGCGGTGGTCAAAATGAATATCCTCCCCCGCCTCCTCTACTGCTTCAGCGCTATCCCCTGGCACCTGCCACAGGACTTCTTCACCAGGCTCAAAACAGCGGTGACGAAATATGTCTGGAAGGAGGGGAGACCACGACTTAAACATGACAGACTATGCTTGCCAAAACCATGGGGAGGCCTGGCCCTGCCGGACTTTCGGAGATACTTCCACACGACAGTACTCCAGAGTATTCGAGAATGGCACACGGCCCCCACCAACAAACTATGGACGAGGCTGGACAGGGAAAGCACAAACAGAGAACTCCACACATACATCTGGCACCGCCCAACAGGGGCTACACAAGCTCTGGGTGCGGAATCCCCAGTGACGCAGACGCTGAAAACCTGGACCACCCTGCGAAGGGAAGCTCACATCTCGCCACAGCCAAGCCCCCTGATCCCCCTAACATATAACGTAACCATAGGAGGGGGACTACACGCGAACGCGTGGCCAACGCAAGGAGCAGAGGGATATGTACCCCTGAGTTCGGCCCTGACAAACGCCAGCCTGCGCAGCCTTCAAGATTGGGCGGACACAGACCGTCTGACAATAATGCACCATTTCCATTACGCACAGCTGCGACACTTCTATCACAATTTACCCAATAGGGGAGCAGTACACAGAGAATGGACCTGGTTTGAACACCTCTGCGAGAGCTATCCAGAGGCAGATGGCAGAGTATCGGGCATATACCAACAACTGCTCACAGGGGAACTTTCCAGAAACAACGCCTTCCAGAGGCAGTGGGAGGAATTGACAGACAGAACCTTCACAGACGCCCAATGGGCGCAAATTCTCATATTACAACACAAAAGCTCCATAAGCACCAGGTACCAAGAGGTGAACTACAAGCTGATCTCCCAGTGATACAAAACACCAGCAAAACTACACAGGATATTCCCAGGGGTTCCAGATACTTGCTGGAGATGCGAAGCGCAGCGAGGTACACTGCGCCACATTTGGTGGGATTGCCCTGGGATCAAGTCATTCTGGGAAGAGGTACACCGGGAAATCACTACAATTCTGGGTGATCCACCAGACTTTAGCATAGAGGCTGTGCTCCTACACTTCTTCACGGGACAGCTGGCACAATACAAACGCTCAATCCTACGACATCTGATGAATGCGGCCAAAGCACTGATCCCAGCGAGATGGAAGCAAACCCAGCCACCTTCCAAAACGGAATGGCTGCAGAGAATAGAAGAGATCCACACAGCTGAGGCGAGATACGCTGAAATACTTGGAAGGAGGGACAAACATCTTGAAATGTGGACACCATGGTACTTATACACGTCACAAACAAGGGCAGGGGATGGGTCACCACGGGGATCCTAGACAGCTGGACCAACACGCGCATCTTAACACAACCACCCTCTCCCCCCCCACCTCAACCAGACCTGCCCTGATGGACTAACTCAGGAGTCAGGATAGACTCATGCCACACCATAGCTATGCCCCACACCTTCCAGACCTCCCACCCTCACACATTCCCACCCATCCCTATCTTTCCCCCTCTTCCCTTTCTCTTTCCCTGGGCGCGTTCGGGGACCGCCTGGCGCAACAGGGCCACAATATATTTGAGCCCGAGAAGGCACCACGATTTCCCTAAGGGACGTGGGCCCAACGAGACATTGCTCAATAGACTCGGGGGGGTCCCATGACGTGGGAACTCCTACAATAAACAGCAAACACAAGTCAACCCTAGATGACTGATACAACTGAGCACTGAGACATCACACCATCCCCAACCGAGGGGGGAAACACTCCAGACACACCACAGATACCACACGTGGACAGCGACTGAAGCATGACAATGATGACCGACCACAAGTAAGCAAGCCACTGGGCGCTCCCCCCCTCCCGTCGTGATGGCACCGCCGCGCGGCGGGGGAGGGGATGCGGACTCAAAGCGAGAGGGTAGCTGACCCAGGAGAGAACCCGCAACATACCTAGGCACCACCAAAGTTAAGGAAAAGACAACAGGAAAGGGAGTCCCAGACCAGGTGCACGACTATAGGACCCGATCCCGCAAAACGACCCCTTTCTCACTCCCCATGTACGAGGACGTGACCTGGGACCTACCGCACTACTCACCATTTGATTGAGGTTCAGCTATAGAATTGTACTGCCCTCACTGATGTGGGCCAGCAGTCATCCGCTTCCAATAACGCTCTATAAAGGCTCATCTAAAACTGGTGGTACTTATGTCAGACGCAATTGGAGACCTGCGAGTCTCACTGACGATATAAGCTCTGCTATCTGTTATTGTCTGAACTGCTAATAAAAACTTTATTTACAAAAAAATAAAAATAAAATAGGGTCATGAATGTAAGACAGCCTTTAAAACAAAAAGAAGGCATTATGAGTGTTCCCTGATGCCTTTTGAACATCATAATGCCTTGCTGTCTTCCAGGATCTCATTAATGACATTATAAGAGAATACATTCACACATCTCATCTCCTTCTAGATTACATTTTGATTCACTTTCTGGATATGCATACCCACCACAAACGCATCCAAGAAGTTCTTAAAACGCTGTTAAGATGTAGTGTATACAGCAAATTAGAAAAATGTCTCTTTGACCATACACAGGTTCAATTTCTTAGTTGTGTAGTCTTATAGAGTTTTCGAGTATTTTGAATTTGTATTGAAGCAAACCTTTTTTTTTCCTCTTTGATTATTTGAACATACTTCTTTTCAAATAGTTTTTATTGAAAAAATGTTTTTGTAAGATTACAACAAATTATAAAAACATTGTAATAAGGGTTGGGAAGGGGAGGGAAACTTGGAAGAGGAAAGGGGAGATCCATCCAATGTGACGATTAATATAGTAAAATATATGATACATTGCAACAATAGGACAAATTGTTACAGATTATAGCCTTTTTTACTTTCGTCTTCCCACATATCCCAATCATACTTCAATTGTGCAAAGAGGTACGAGTTAGTTCTATGTGATAGTTTGTGCGCTTTATTTTCTAGGAGTAGGTTCAGTACTTCTCTAAGTGATGGCATACATTTAGATTTCCAGTACGTGGGCAAACAAGAGGTGGGAGCTATCAGAATGTGGCCTATTATTATTTTGTTAATTCTGCTGACGGACTCAGGGAATTTCTTGAATAAAGCAAGCTCAAATGTGAAAGTACCAATGTTTCTATCTACCTTAATGATTAGGCCATAAATAATTTTCCAGTATTTGATTATTTTTGGGCAATACCACCATATGTGGGCCATATTTCCCAAACCGCCACAATCTCTCCAACACCTGTTAGAATACATGTTGTTCCTGTTGTGTAGTCTGGAGGGAGCTAAGTACCATCGATATAAAATTTTAAAATGATTTTCAAAATGGTCAGAGCAAAAATATATTCCCTTTAATGATTTAAAGAAAACTAATACTTCTGATGGGGAGATAAAGTTTACAGAGCACTGTGACTGTGATTTGTGATTGGACATTATATACGTTGGATAACGTATTATTGACTCTATTATTGTTCCTTTAAGAAGTCTGATTTAAAAAAAAAACACGCAGTATGGAAGTGTTTTAGTTTTTATTATTTGTTTTATTGTCTGTTGCACAGTTCTTTTGGCTGACCCTTCTCTGTGATCCTCGGCGGTAAAGAAAGCAAGGCCTGTCCAGGATGGGCGAGATGGTCTTTCATCTGTGAGATCTGTAACATGCTTTTATACACAAAATATTTTGTATGTGCAATTGTAATAAATTTTTATACTGTAACAGTATTTCA